AGCCTTGCAGCTTCAAAGCTTGGCTGCTTCCTGCACCCTGGGCATTCCACAGATGTATAAACCCCACTTGCCTAGTCTCCAACAGATCTCATAACCTCTGAGGATTCCTGCCATAGATGTGGGCGAAACGTGAGGAGAAAATGCTTCTGGAACATAGCCAGACAGCCTGGAAAACTCACAGCAACCCAGTGATTCTGGCCATGAAAGCCCTCTGCTGGTTGCATCTAAGCATTACATACATACCAATAAGACAGTAAGTCTTTCTATGTGCACACTGCCCTCTTGTGGTTGCATTGAAGCATTTCATACATTCATAGCAATAAGCCAGTAACAACTTTCCTATCTGCATGCTGCCCTCTTGTGGTTACATCTGAGCATGACATACATAATCAGCCAGTAACTAAGCCTTCTTAACTGTATACTGCCCTCTTCTGGTTGCATATAAGCATTGCATACATCCATACCAATAAGCCAGTAAGTAATCCTATCTATATACTGCCCTCTTGTGGTTGCATATGAGCATTGGATACATACATCCATACATACCAATAAGCCAGTAACGAATCCTATCTATAGATTGCCCTCTGGTGGTTGCATCTGAACACTGCATATGACCTTGAATAGCAAGGGGGCGCAATGCCTGATGTGTCCACCGGAGGGCGGCAAAGGACAACACATAGGAGTCCTGGGCAGAGAGATGCCCCATAGGCTTCAATGGAGGGGCAGAATAACAAGAGGGCGCAATGCCTGATGTGTCCACAGGAGGGCGGCAAAGGACAACACAGGAGTCCTGGGCAGAGAGATGCCTCATAGGCTTCAATGGAGGGGCAGAATAACAAGGGGGCGCAATGCCTGATGTGTCCACAGGAGGGCGGCAAAGGACAACACAGAGGAGTCCTGGGCAGAGAGATGCCCCATAGGCTTCAATGGAGGGGCAGAGTAACAAGGGGGCGCAATGCCTGATGTGTCCACAGGAGGGCGGCAAAGGACAACACATAGGAGTCCTGGGCAGAGAGATGCCCCATAGGCTTCAATGGAGGGGCAGAGTAACAAGGGGGCGCAATGCCTGATGTGTCCACAGGAGGGCGGCAAAGGACAACACATAGGAGTCCTGGGCAGAGAGATGCCCCATAGGCTTCAATGGAGGGGCAGAGTAACAAGGGGGCGCAATGCCTGATGTGTCCACTGGAGGGCGGCAAAGGACAACACATAGGAGTCCTGGGCAGAGAGATGCCCCATAGGCTTCAATGGAGGGGCAGAATAACAAGGGGGCGCAATGCCTGATGTGTCCACAGGAGGGCGGCAAAGGACAACACATAGGAGTCCTGGGCAGAGAGATGCCCCATAGCCTTCAATGGAGGGGCAGAGTAACAAGGGGGCGCAATGCCTGATGTGTCCACTGGAGGGCGGCAAAGGACAACACATAGGAGTCCTGGGCAGAGAGATGCCCCATAGGCTCAATGGAGGGGCAGAGTAACAAGGGGGCGCAATGCCTGATGTGTCCACTGGAGGGCGGCAAAGGACAACACATAGGAGTCCTGGGCAGAGAGATGCCCCATAGGCTTCAATGGAGGGGCAGAGTAACAAGAGGGCGCAATGCCTGATGTGTCCACAGGAGGGCGGCAAAGGACAACACATAGGAGTCCTGGGCAGAGAGATGCCCCATAGGCTCCAATGGAGGGGCAGAGTAACAAGGGGGCGCAATGCCTGATGTGTCCACAGGAGGGCGGCAAAGGACAACACATAGGAGTCCTGGGCAGAGAGATGCCCCATAGGCTTCAATGGAGGGGCAGAATAACAAGGGGGCGCAATGCCTGATGTGTCCACTGGAGGGCGGCAAAGGACAACACATAGGAGTCCTGGGCAGAGAGATGCCCCATAGGCTCCAATGGAGGGGCAGAGTAACAAGGGGGCGCAATGCCTGATGTGTCCACAGGAGGGCGGCAAAGGACAACACATAGGAGTCCTGGGCAGAGAGATGCCCCATAGGCTTCAATGGAGGGGCAGAATAACAAGGGGGCGCAATGCCTGATGTGTCCACAGGAGGGCGGCAAAGGACAACACATAGGAGTCCTGGGCAGAGAGATGCCCCATAGGCTTCAATGGAGGGGCAGAATAACAAGGGGGCGCAATGCCTGATGTGTCCACAGGAGGGCGGCAAAGGACAACACAGAGGAGTCCTGGGCAGAGAGATGCCTCATAGGCTTCAATGGAGGGGCAGAGTAACAAGGGGGCGCAATGCCTGATGTGTCCACAGGAGGGCGGCAAAGGACAACACATAGGAGTCCTGGGCAGAGAGATGCCCCATAGGCTTCAATGGAGGGGCAGAGTAACAAGGGGGCGCAATGCCTGATGTGTCCACAGGAGGGCGGCAAAGGACAACACATAGGAGTCCTGGGCAGAGAGATGCCCCATAGGCTTCAATGGAGGGGCAGAGTAACAAGGGGGCGCAATGCCTGATGTGTCCACAGGAGGGCGGCAAAGGACAACACATAGGAGTCCTGGGCAGAGAGATGCCTCATAGGCTTCAATGGAGGGGCAGAATAACAAGAGGGCGCAATGCCTGATGTGTCCACAGGAGGGCGGCAAAGGACAACACATAGGAGTCCTGGGCAGAGAGATGCCCCATAGGCTTCAATGGAGGGGCAGAATAACAAGGGGGCGCAATGCCTGATGTGTCCACAGGAGGGCGGCAAAGGACAACACATAGGAGTCCTGGGCAGAGAGATGCCCCATAGGCTTCAATGGAGGGGCAGAATAACAAGGGGGCGCAATGCCTGATGTGTCCACTGGAGGGCGGCAAAGGACAACACATAGGAGTCCTGGGCAGAGAGATGCCCCATAGGCTTCAATGGAGGGGCAGAGTAACAAGGGGGCGCAATGCCTGATGTGTCCACTGGAGGGCGGCAAAGGACAACACATAGGAGTCCTGGGCAGAGAGATGCCCCATAGGCTTCAATGGAGGGGCAGAATAACAAGAGGGCGCAATGCCTGATGTGTCCACAGGAGGGCGGCAAAGGACAACACATAGGAGTCCTGGGCAGAGAGATGCCCCATAGGCTTCAATGGAGGGGCAGAATAACAAGAGGGCGCAATGCCTGATGTGTCCACAGGAGGGCGGCAAAGGACAACACATAGGAGTCCTGGGCAGAGAGATGCCCCATAGGCTTCAATGGAGGGGCAGAGTAACAAGGGGGCGCAATGCCTGATGTGTCCACAGGAGGGCGGCAAAGGACAACACATAGGAGTCCTGGGCAGAGAGATGCCCCATAGGCTTCAATGGAGGGGCAGAGTAACAAGAGGGCGCAATGCCTGATGTGTCCACAGGAGGGCGGCAAAGGACAACACATAGGAGTCCTGGGCAGAGAGATGCCCCATAGGCTCCAATGGAGGGGCAGAATAACAAGAGGGCGCAATGCCTGATGTGTCCACTGGAGGGCGGCAAAGGACAACACATAGGAGTCCTGGGCAGAGAGATGCCCCATAGGCTCCAATGGAGGGGCAGAGTAACAAGGGGGCGCAATGCCTGATGTGTCCACTGGAGGGCGGCAAAGGACAACACATAGGAGTCCTGGGCAGAGAGATGCCCCATAGGCTTCAATGGAGGGGCAGAATAACAAGAGGGCGCAATGCCTGATGTGTCCACTGGAGGGCGGCAAAGGACAACACATAGGAGTCCTGGGCAGAGAGATGCCCCATAGGCTTCAATGGAGGGGCAGAATAACAAGAGGGCGCAATGCCCGACTCGTCATGGTATATAAAATATATATAATTAACAATAAATTACATGGGAAGAGAAAAGGAGAAAAGAAGAAGGGAAGAAAAGGAAGGAAAGAAGAAAGGGAAAGGGAAGAGAAGAAAGAAGAGAAGGGAAGAAGGAAGGAGAGAAGGAAGGGGGAAGGAGAGGGGAGCGAAGAGTGGGGGGGAGCAGACAGGGGTGGAGAAGCTAGGGGAAGGGGATCCAAGGGCGGGAGGGGGAGGGGCGAGGAGAGAACGGATTTCGAAAGAGGGAGAGTAGGAGATAGACACAGGGAAAAAGAAGAATTGGAAAGAAGAGCTCAACGAGCAAGGGAGTAATAAGAAAAGTGAGGAAGGAAGGGAGAGGGGGAAAGTGAGATCAACATTGAATGGTGAGAGAAGGAAAGGAGGAGGGGAGAGTATAACGCGGGGGAGAGCGAGAACACCCATCGAAAAGCGGGACAGATATTCGGAACGAACCGAAAGGAAGGAAAGAAAAAGAAACAAAGGGAAGTAACATTACGTTGGTCGGAGGATGAAGGGATACCTAGAGAGCATACACGTAAAACCACGAACGAAGTTATAAGCAAATGAGTTGGGTGCAAAGACTCCAAGTCCCGGGAGGAAGGATCTCCCCCCCACGATGAGGCTGGAGCGAGAAACAACGCCCTCCCTCTTTCTCCTTCTTTCCTTCCTGTTTGTCTTTCCTTCCTTCCCTTTCCTCCCTCCCTCTCTCCTTTCATTCCTATTTGACTTTCCTTCCCTCCCTCTTTCCTCCCTCCTTCATTCCCTCTCTCTTTCTTTCTCCTTCTTTCCTTCTTGTCTTTCCTTCCTTCCCTCTTTCCTTCTTTCTCCTTCTTTCCTTCTTATTTGTCTTTCCTTCCTTCCCTCTTTTCTACCTCCTTCCCTCTCTCTTTCTCCTTCCTTCCCTTTTGCTTTCTCTTCCCTCTTTCCTCCCTCCTTCCCTCTCTCCCTATTTCTCCTTCTTTCATTCCTATTTGTCTTTCCTTCCCATTTATGGAATTTTATGCAAATACTAGGATTGAGCTCTGGATTGTTGTGTGCAGAGGGCTCCTGCCCCTTTAAATCAAGGGTTCTGAAAGTGCAATCTTAAAGAGAGGGCGCCTGTCTCTTTAAGGAGCACCATACGGTAGCGCCCCGCCCCTTCACGCCTCAGCCAGGCAAAAGGGGGCGTGTCCCGCACATCGCCACGCCCTCCTCATTTGCATCGCCGTTGCCTGTCTCTCCCTCCCGCGCATGCGCAACGGTTAGCGCCTGCCCTGTCACTTCCGCCAGCCGGTGGGCGCTTCCGATTGGAGCGAGACTGCAGTTGAGGACCAGCTGGTGAGTGGAATCTCGGAGGGCGATTGAAACAGAGAGAGAGATTCCTCTGGTTTGGAAGGGAAAGGGAGGATATTCTGGGATGGGAGGCTGTAACGCTGCTGGTAGTCACTATGGCGACGGCTTGGAGGCCAAGGGAAGGCAAGTGGAGCAGGCCTGGGCCAACTTAGGCCTTCATTCCAACTTGGGACTACAACTCCCACAATTCCTCACAGCCTCAGGCCCTTTCCTTTTCCCCCTCAGGCCTGGGCCAACTTGGGCCTTCCCTCCAGGTGTTTTGGACTCCAACTCCCACAATTCCTCACAGCCTAGGCCGGGTTTAATTGTGGGAGTTGAAGTGTAGAACAGCTGAAGAGGTTGGTCCAGGTCTCCGGGCCTGAGGCTGTGAGGAATTGTGGGAGTTGGAGTCCAAAACACCTGGAGGGAAGGCCCAAGTTGGCCCAGGCCTGAAGTAGATGTGCCAGAACAAGGCCTTGATCAGGAAGGCTAGCTACTGTCAACCAAAACCCACTTTACAAGTTCCTCTGCTTATTTCTCTTGTTTCAAGATTCTTATAAGAGGTTAAACAATTGTATAATCCGTCTGGACTACTGCAACGCTCTCAATGTGGGGCTGCCTTTGAAGATATAATAATAATAATAATAATAATAATAATAATAATAATAATATACATCACGCAGTGCTAGAATCATAGAATCAAAGAGTTGGAAGAGACCTCATGGGCCATCCAGTCCAACCCCCTGCCAAGAAGCAGGAATATTGCATTCAAATCAGCCCTGACAGATGGCCATCCAGCCTCTGTTTAAAAGCTTCCAAAGAAGGAGCCTCCACCACACTCCGGGGCAGAGAGTTCCACTGCTGAACGGCTCTCACAGTCAGGAAGTTCTTCCTCATGTTCAGTTGGAATCTCCTCTCTTGTAGTTTGAAGCCATTGTTTCCGCGTCCTAGTCTCCAGGGAAGCAGAAAACAAGCTTGCTCCCTCCTTCCTGTGGCTTCCTCTCACATATTTATACATGGCTATCATATCTCCTCTCAGCCTTCTCTTCTTCAGGCTAAACATGCCCAGCTCCTTAAGCCGCTCCTCATAGGGCTTGTTCTCCAGACCCTTGATCATTTTAGTCCCTCCTCTGGACACATTCCAGCTTGTCAATATCTCTCTTGAATTGTGGTGCCCAGAATTGGACACAATATTCCAGGTGTGGTCTAACCAAAGCAGAATAGAGGGGTAGCCTTACTTCCCTAGATCTAGACACTATGCTCCTATTGATGCAGGCCAAAATCCCATTGGCTTTTTTTGCCGCCACATCACATTGTTGGCTCATGTTTAACTTGTTGTCCACGAGGACTCCAAGATCTTTTCCACACGTACTGCTCTCGAGCCAGGCATCCCCCATTCTATATCTTTGCATTTCGTTTTCCTTCCAAAGTGGAGTATCTTGCATTGGGAAGTGTTCGACTTGTGGTCTTTTTGGTATGAAATCCAGCATATAGATCTCGTTTGCTGTGACATTCTGTGCTTTTGTGTCAGTAAAATAATATTATAATATTTATTTATTTGTCGTGTCAGGTCAACCAGTCAATTATATTACATTTCTAACAGAACAAAGCAAACAAACAGACATAATACATCATTTGTGAGTTTGGTAGTTGATTATCATAATATTATTATAATAATAAATAATGATCACAAGCCGGAAAAATTTACAGAAAATGAACACACCAAACTACTCTGGGACTTCCAAATTCAGACAGACGATTATATTATTATTATTATTATTATTATTATTATTATGATCACAAGCTGGAAAAATGTACAGGAAATGAACATGTCAAACTCCTCTGGGACTTCCGAATTCAGACAGTGTTGTGGCGCACAATACTCCTGACCTCATGATCGTGTTAAAAAACAAAGTATGGATCATCGATGTTGCAATCCCGGGTGACAGCAGGATTGAAGAGAAATAACTGGAAAAGCTGACACAATATGAGGATTTAAAGATCGAACTGCAAAGGCTCTGGCACAAGCCAGTCAAGGGGTCCCAGTGGTGATCGGCACACTGGGTGCAGTGCCTCAAGACCTTGGCCTGCACTTAAACACAATCAGCGCTGACAAGATTACTATCTGCCAGCTGCAGAATGCAACCTTACTGTGATCTGCACGCATTATTCACCAATACATCACCCAGTCCTGACTCTTGGGAAGGGTCCGATGTGTGATCCAATACAACAGACAGCAGATAATCTTGTCTGCTGTGGACTCATCTTGTTGTGTTTCTAATAATAATAATAATAATAATAATAATAACTACTACTACTACTACTTTATTTTTATACCCCGCCTCCAAATTTGGACACTACACCCCTAACAGATCAACAAGTGACTGTCACTCATAAAAATACTAAAAAACACTGCGGAAGAGACTTAAAAAGCCAAAAAATAAAAAATCCATAACACACAAAACCACATATACACACATATATATGCACACACACAAAACACATATACACAGACTGAGTCACAGCGACGCATGGCAGGGGATGGCTAGTTGAATGATATTTCTATCCCGCTTTTCTCAAACCCAGATGTGACTTAAGACCACTTTACAATATAAAACCAAAACAGTGTTGGCCCACAAGCACAAAGATATACACTATTAATAGTAAATGAACAGTGTAGACTTATATTGAGTGAAATACACATAGTACAAAATATACAATCCCAATGGTAATGCTCTGTATAATAAAGTAGTTCCTAACTCAAACCATGTAGGTTCTTGTGTTTTTTTTGGCTCTGTGGCCATGTTCTAGAAGCATTCTCTCCTGACGTTTTGCCTGTATCTATGGCAAGCATCCTCAGAGGTAGTGAGGATGCTTGCCATAGATGCAGGCGAAACATCAGGAGAGAATGCTTCTAGAACATGGCCATATAGCCCGAAAAACCTACAACAACCTAGTGATTCCAGCCATGAAAGCATTCAACAATACATCAAACAATGTGTGTTCTAAGCATAAACTTTCAGCTTGTAAAAACAATATGTTGACCCAAAGAGCACGGAGAAAACAGCCGGTTTTGACTCTAGGTCTTCCTCAGGTGAATTATAATTTCTCCATGGTGGGTTAGCGTCTATAAATTTATATACTTCTATGACACTCTGCTGAATCTGTTTTATGCAAATATTGCAATAAGAGCAAACATAGATTAAGCAGAGTGTCATAAAAGTATATGAAATTATAGACACGAACCCACCATTGAGAAAGGATACATGCATACAATCTGCAGAAAGGGATACAAAGTGTCTTTCAGGAGAATGTAAAATTATGGGGGGGGGGCTTCAGAGTGCTCTGAATGCAGGGTGAACTACAACTCCCACGTGGGTGGGCCATTCCTCCCCAACCTCTCCAGTATGTACTGTTGGTCATGCGGGGTTTTGTGTCCCAAGTTTGGTCCAGGTCCATCATTCGTGAGGGTCACAGTGGTCTGTGGAAGTGGGTGAAGGTACTGCAAATCCCATTATCTGTGATCCATCCTTCCCCAACCCTCATCAGGACAGAAAGTGCGTCATAGGGAGTTGTATGCCAAATGTGGTCCACGTGCATCATTTGTTTGTGTCGCAGCGCTTTCTGGAAGTGAGTGAAGATACTGCAATTCCCATCATCCCTGGCCTTCCCTTGATCTTGGCACTAGACTCCTATTGGTCCACTACATTCTTGATTTCTCGTGGTGGGAGCCCGAAAGGGTAATACGAACCCTGTGTTTGTGCCCCTCGGAAACTGCTGTCACAGTCTGGGGATGAATGTGAAGCTCTTTGAGGATCAGAGTGGCATCTGATATCTATTGTATTGCCAAGGAACCTAGTGAATAATTCATAGCAGCGATCGTGTTAGGTCGGTCGAGTGAGTTGGAAGAAGGTCGTTGTCTTCTTATACTTTGAACTGTACCTATTATATTTGGATTTTTAAAAATCGTTTTATAAGGTTGTGAGTCCATTTGGGTCTCTGTCCTGAGTGAAAAGATGGTCACAAATAGAAATATGAACAACAACAGCAATAATAGATGGTGGCTCCTTACCTGTGGAATGCCTTGCCAGCGGAAACACGAGCTCTCCGAGATTTACTATCTTTTCGTAGAGCTTGTAAAACTTATTTATTTAGGCTGGCATTTGAATCTGGTTGATTGAAATTTTTCTTTGTTTCTAAATGTAATGTATTGCATATGTATGTTGTAAACCGCTCCGAGCCTTTGGGGAGTGGCGGTATATAAATTCGATTAATAAATAAAATAATAATAAATAATAATAGCAGTTTCAAAGTTTGGCTTCTTACTGCCTGTGGGAATCCTTTGTTGGAAGGTGATTAGCCAACCCTGATGTTTCTTGTCTGGAATTCCCCTGTTTTTGAGTATTGTTCTTTATTTTAGAATTTTTTAAATACTGGTAGCCAAATTGTGTTCGTTTTCATGGTTCTCCGTCATGGTCCCTGTGAATTGCACATATGGTAATTTCTGCACCTGAGCGGACAGCTTCGGATGAAAAGAACTGGTCGTCAGATTGTGCTCATTTTCATGGTTTCCTCCTTTCTGTTGACATTGTCCACATACTTGTGCATTACAATGGCTTCTCCTCCCAACAAAGGATTCCCCCAGCTGGCTTTGGAGGCGAAGGCCAGCTGGCTTCAGCCTCCACTGCTGGCTTGACTTGCATATAAGCCGAGGGAAGCTTTTTCAGCCCTCCAAAAGGGCTGAAAACTCTGCTTATATTCGAGTATATATGGCATCTTAAGCAATTTTTTGTACTCCCTTAAATTGATAGTTTGGCCTGCAATGTTGGGAATGCTTTAAACAATTATGTTTGCCAAATAACATTCAGTTTGCATCTGGAAAATATTTCAGTTGCCAAAGAACAGTTGAATTTGGACAGAAAAGTTCAATGAAAGCTTGAATAAGTTATATTCAAATTAATTCAAAATAACTTTGTACATCTAATCAGTCCTATAACATTCTTCTCTTCTCCCTCCTTTGCATTAAAAATAGTTGAAACCATTCCAAGGGTAAGTTATGTTTCTTAAAGTAGTCCTCTGTGGGTAGGCAGATCTCTGTTCGTTGAGCTCTCTTGTCATATTTAAGCATCACGTTTATCTGTTCATTTCTCAAGCTCTACTGGACCATGGGCCCCCTGAGGGAGAGGAACTGACTGGATGGAAGATCAATCTGGCTTGGAAGGAGAGTTCCACAACACCATCATTATACTTGTGTCCTTGTGGACTTGGCCGTGGCTTTGAGAAGATGTTTGCCAAACTGAAGAAAAAGATTGCCGAAGAAGCGGCGACTGCTCCTCGAGGGGTGGCCAGGATGCCCAGATCGGTCAGCAAAGAGTCCATCACATCCATGGGAGCGGATTCGGGGGACGACTTCGTAAGTGTCCAAGGCTGGGTTTGGGGGTAGTGTTGACCCCATAATGTACAGCAATGAGGCATTGATACATGGGTTGAAAAGTCATGTGGAAATAACAGGTCATAGAGCAGCCATTGTAGTGTTGGATTATGTTTTGAATCCCTATTCAGCCATGACACCCAATGGGTGAGTCACATGCTCTTTGCCTCAGGAAGCATCGTGATAGGGTCGCTTCAGTTGAAAATGGTTTGAAGGTCCACAATTCCCGATCTGTTTTGCTCTTAAGCTTCGAGTGCATGCCAAAAACAATCCACTACACTTCCATGACTGCCTGTCTGCACTTGTCTCAGAATCTGTTTCATTTCCTGTAAAAATAGGGAGTTTATTGTGATTGAGCTGTTAGAGATCAGTCTGAAACTCCTGAGGCTGATGGTTTAGAGAGGATTGGGGGATTTCCTGGGGTTCATAGTGATGAAGATTCGAGTCAGAGGAATGATGCTTCTGTCTTTGAGAAATCTGACTCGGAAAGTGCAGAGATTCAAGGTTAGTCAAAGGAGCCAGAAAACTGCAACATTAGATAAGGAGTCGGTTAAAGAGATCCCATTGCCTGTGGAATTTCCTGTGGCTTGTAGTGATGAAGATTCAAGTCAGGGGAATGATGCTTCTGTTTTTGAGAAATCTGACTCGGAAAGTGCAGGGATTCAAGGTTAGTCAGAGGAGCCAGAAACTGCAACATTAGATAAGGAGTCGGCCGAAGAGATCCCATTGCCTGTGGGATTTCCTGTGGCTCGTAGTGATGAAGATTCAAGTCAAGGGAGTGATGCTTCTGTCTCTGAGAAATCTGACTTGGAAAGTGCAGGAATTCAAGGTTAGTCAGAGGAGCCAGAAAACTGCAACATTAGATAAGGAGTCAGCTGAAGAGATCCCATTGCCTGTGGAATTTCCTGGGGCTCGTAGTGATGAAGATTCAAGTCAGGTGAATGATGCTTCTGTCTCTGAGAAATCTGACTCGGAAAGTGCAGGGATTCAAGGTTAGTCAGAGGAGCCAGAAACCGCAACATTAGATAAGGAGTCAGCTGAAGAGATCCCATTGCCTGTGGAATTTCCTGGGGCTCAAGTCAGGGGAATGATGCTTTTGTCTCTGAGAAATCTGACTCGGAAAGTGCAGGGATTCAAGGTTAGTCAGAGGAGCCAGAAACCGCAACATTAGATAAGGAGTCGGCCGAAGAGATCCCATTGCCTGTGGAATTTCCTGGGGCTCAAGTTAGGGGAATGATGCTTTTGTCTCTGAGAAATCTGACTCGGAAAGTGCAGGGATTCAAGGTTAGTCAGAGGAGCCAGAAACTGCAACATTAGATAAGGAGTTGGCCGAAGAGATAAGTGATACAGAAGGTTCTCAGGAGAAAATACCTGGTGTTACAAAGATCAGCAAAAGTCTTTGTTTACAGAGCAGAGAAGGAAATAGGCATCGTAGGTCTGAGCGATTGCGTGGGAAAGTTGGGGAGAGATTTCGTGGGAAATCCGCCCCAAGTCCACTTCGGGGTGAGAAGGGTGGAATATCAATACTGTAATCAATGAAGAAATAATATTGCAGATGTAACTAATTAGTTAGCCTTTCTCTCAATAGGGAATTCAGAGCAGCTTCCTGTATTAAAGCAAAATGGCGACCACAACATGTAGTATACAAGTTAATTTGAAACATGAATTCACATCAAGTAATTTACATTCAGATCCATATTATGGATGTGAAAGTGTTTATGATTGTATTCATGAACTTGCTTGTCTATTTTCTTGTGTGAGTCAGTTGGGCTGGTCTTTTTTCCGGCTTATTGTGACTCTTCCTATGTTTCTCTTAACCTCCCAAGCCTTCTGATGGAAGCAGCTCCAGAGAGGACGTCTCCTCTCAGCTGTTGCGAAGAAACGACCAGATACGGAAGCTGGAAGTCAAGCTGTCTGGTATGTTGCTTGTTGCGCGTGTGTTTCTGTAACTATTTCTAGCTCAAACTACAGTGAATTACTGCAGTAATCGACTGGTGATCATTCCAATGTTCCTGTATAAATATGTTCTTAGTATTGTAACCGTCTTCACTGCTGAAAGTAATGGTTGCTTACCTGTAACCGTGTTTCTTCAAGTGGCGATCTGTTAAATTCGCATATGGAAATACCATATGTGCTCATCTCCCTGACTAAGCCGAAGAGCCAGCATTAGTCTGTAGATACCTCCAAGGTCATGTGGCCGGCATGACTACATGGAGCACCATTACCTTCCTGCAGGAGCAGTACCTAATGATCTACTCACATTTGCATGTTTTTGAACTGCTAGCTTGGCAGAAGCTGAGGCTAACAGCAGGAGCTCACCCCACTCCCTGGATTTGAACAGCTGATATTTGGTCAGCAAGTTCAGCAGCTCAGTAGTTTAACCTGCTGCGCCACCGGGGGCTCATACAATTTAAAATATGCAAATATGCAAACATTAAAACGGAATTAAATATAAACAGCATTTAAAACAATTAAAATCCATTAAAGCATATTCAGAGTTAAAAACCACAGATCTTAAACACTTCTGGAAGAACAGAGGCTCTCTCCAGGTAAGGGTTACTACTATCAAATATGAAAACATCATATCCATGTAAACTTATAATCATAGTGATAAATTACCTTTAAAATATAAGTCTTGGGTGCATACCATTCCTGTTAACTGACCAGATTAGTTTATTTATTTATTTACAGTATTTATGTTCCGCCCTTCTCACCCCGTAGGGGACTCAGGACGGATTATAATGTGCAAACATTCAATGTCTATTCTTGTTTTATTGTTTTTAAATTTTAATTGTATTGTTTTAATCTACTGCTGTAAACTGCTCCGAGCCAAATTGGGAGTAGCGGTATACAAGTCAAATAAATAATAATAATAATAATAATAATAATAATAATAATAATAATAATGCCAAAGACACACAACATATATAGACAGGCACACAGAGGTTATTAACATTCCAGCTTTTTTTGATGAGGGTATTCTGGCCATCAGGGGAGCTGTCGCTTCACCATCCATTTGTGACACTGATGAAGTACTTCCTCATTCTTTGCATGCTTGCTGGAGATTTTTATGGCATCGTAAATTAGCTAAATTAGCCTCCCCGCATACGCGGTACCTAAATTTCCTACCTGACAGATGCAACTGTATTTCGGGCTGCAAAGGTCGACAGCAAGCTACACAAATTGGTCGGAAGCTCACTCCAACCCGGGCTGGCTTCGAACTCTTAATGCAGCTGACATCTAGCCAGCTGCACCACAGTCCCGATTGTCCATCCCTCCTCCCGCCTTCATCTTTAGCAGCGTTTTGTTTTGCTCAGTGTTGTGGTGGGGCTGTCTGCTTTGAAATGATTTTCAGAACCGAGGAAATCATTGGCTGTCTTCATTTACCATTGTTGCTGTTGTTGTTGTTTCCTAACCCTCGTCCTCCCTGATTTTTCCTATTGTCCGTTCACGTCCGGTTGGTGCCGCCGCCTCCTTTCTCCCAAGATTATGCTGAACAGGTTCGAAACCTGCAGAAGATTAAGGAGAAGCTTGAGAACGCTTTAGAGACGCATCAAGACTGTATGTACTTTTCTTTCCCTCTTTGGAAATGCAATGTGTAAAGCTCTCTTTCAGTCATCCAGGGAACCCAACAATATTGGATGTAAACATTCCCATGCGCCCCAATTATATTAAAGTCTCTTTGAATTAAAGTAATGGGTAAATCGGTTGAATGGGATTTAATTTCTTAATATTAAGCTGTAGCTTTCTTTGAGGAGGCTTTAAATAGAGTATTTCCCAAGCTGTGCAGGTGTCACTATGGCTCAGTTGTGGTGTTATTCTCTCCAGCCTTTGTGAAAAAACTCCAAGAGCAGAATGAGGCTCATCAGGCCAGCACGGCCAAGATGGCGGAAGGAATGGCCTTGGCGCTGGAGAAGAAGGACCAGGTAATCTCCCCATGAAATTCATAGGGCCAAGCTGTAGTTCATTGGATTTCAAGCCTGCTCGAGAGGCTCTCAAGCAGTGTTTCTCAATATTCATCATGACAAGACCCCTTAATGCAGTTCCTCATGTTGTGGTGACCCCCAACCATAAAATTATATTCGTTGCTACTTCATAACTCTAATGTAAAATATCTAATCTGCAGGATGTATTTTGGCAGGGAGCCAATTCAAAGCTCCCTGCTTGAGCAGTGATGGCACTATCATCAGCATAGATCAAACTCTCTGTCCCTTCTGGCAGTGGCTGGTCATTTGTATAGATGTTAAACATACCCAATATGCCCAAATCTGAATACTGGTGGGGGTTGGGCGGGGTTGATTTTCTCACTTGAGAGTTGTAGTTGCTGGGATTGATAGTTTATATATAATCAAAGAACATTCTGAACTCCACCAATGATTAAATTGAACCAAATGTGCAAGGTATACGCAACTGGACCAAGGCACCAAATGTGCAAGGTGTATTTGTAATGTGTGTAAGGCACATTAATACGCAATGGTATCTTTCTGCTTTGAGCGGAAATTGACTTCTGAAATTCTGCTTTAGGCAAAAACTCTCCACCACTCAACAACTTAGTAGCCTCAGTCTGAGAAGCCTCAGTGGGAGAGAAGACTCAGTCTGTGAGAGGTCTCTGTGGGAGAAGGGCCTCAGAGTTACCGTAGCCCCTATATACTCACATTTGAATGCTGGTGCGGTTAGCGGGGGGTAATTATTTTGTCATTTGGGAATTGTAGTTGTTGGGATTTATAACTCACCTACAATCAAAGAGCATTCTGAATTCCCACCAACGATGAAATTGAACCAAGCTTGGCACAGAGAACTCCCATGGCCAACAGAAAAAACTGGAAGGAGCACCTAAAGCTTCAGAGAGCTTCGGTTCAGCCATCTCAAAGCTCCCTGCTTGAGCGGTGATGGCGCTATTGTCAGCACAGATGAAACTCTTTGTCCCTTCTGGCAGTGGCTGGTCATTTGTGTAAATGTTAAACATTAATGGAGCAAGCATGCTCCCCTGAGGCAGGCCGCTCTTCTGTTTTCGCCGTCTGCTTCTCTGGCCCTGGAATTCAACAAAATGGCTCCTTTTTGTAGCAGATTTCTTATTAAGTGGGTGAGGTGGTAGTCCTTTGTGATATTATACGTTTTTGTCCGGAGAAGCCGAGAAAAAGCTGCTGACTGGTCTATGAAGACAGCTCTTGTAATCTGCTGTCTCTCCAGGTGAAAGTGTGCCTGTGTTGAATTGTCCTTTTCTCGTTTTGCAGGAATGGAAAGAGAAGCTGTCTCACCTTGAAAAGGTAAAGTAGCTTGCTTTAAACCAGGCTCTGCTGCAGAAACGGGGACAGGCAGAACTAAGATCTAGGACCCTAAGATCTTCTGAGGAGACCCTCCTCTCGGTCCAGCCTTCTTCACAGACTGAGTTGGCGGGAACGAGGGACAGGGCCTTCTCAGCGGTGGCCCCTCGGCTATGGAAGGTCCACCCTAGAGATATCTGATCAGTCCCCATCTTCCTAACATTTTGAAAAAAAGTTAAAACTTGGCTTTTTGAGCAAGCTTTCCCAAATGCATTGTAGCAGACAAACTCTGATCTTCAGAACGAATGGACAATGCAATTGGGTAATGATTTTAGTAATGAGATGCTGTGGATTTATATTTTCAATTGGTTTTATTTTATTTTATCAGATGTTATTTATGCTAAATGTTTTAATTGTTATTGTTTTGTAGGCATCAAATTGTGCCATTTATAAACGGCCCTGAGTCGCCTTCGCGCTGAGAAATTTATTTATGTATTTATTATTTACACAATTTCTACCTGGCCCTTCTCAGGGGGATTCAGGGCAGCTAACACAGGCAACAATTCAATGCCAACAATATCAGTAACAACAATATAAAATCCTAGAACATAGCAAATTAAAACAGTAATATTAAAATTACATAATCATATAGAACAAATCACATAATCACAAGTCACGGTATATAAGTATGGTTAATTAATAATAATAATAATAATAATAATAATAATAATAATAATAATAAACATAACCATAGAGTTGGAAGAGACCACAGGGGCCATCCAGTCCAATATTAGCACAGTATCATCTTTAAATGTGTTCCTCCTGTTTTGAGCTGTAGATGTCTTGAGGAGCTGAATCTCTCTGAATTAGATTTCCTGACATGCATCAGAACACAATATATGGTGAGATCTGCAAGCCTTAGACCAGTGGTTCCCAAACTTTGGTCCTCCAGATGTTTTGGACTTCAGCTCCCATGATGGATTGATTGATTTACAGTATTTATATTCCGCACTTCTCACCCCGCAGAGGACTCAGGGTGGATTACAATGTACACATATATGGCAAACATTCAATGCCAGAGACACACAACAGATATAGACAGTCAGTCAGAGGCTATTTAACTTTTTCTGGCCACCAGGGGAGCTGTCGCTTTCATCGTCCATCTGTGACAATGATGAAGTACTTCCGCATTCCCCGCATGTTTTGCTGGAGTCTTTTATAGCCTCATAAATTAGTTAAATTAGCCTCCCCACACCTAATTTTTCTACTTGACAGATGCAACTGTCTTTCGGGTTGCAAGGGGTGACAACAAGCTACACAATTGGTCGGAAGCTCACTCTGACCCGGACTGGCTTCGAGCGCATGACCTTTTGGTCAGAAGTGATGTTAATGCAGCTGACACTCAGCCAGCTGCGCCACAGTCCCGGTGCTTAACAGCTGGTAAGCTTGCTGGGATTTCTGGGAGTTGAAGTCCAAGACACCTGGAGGACCAAAGGCTGGGAACCACTGCATTAATAGAGTTTGAAGGAACCCTGCAAGGCTTTGCATCCAACTAGAGAAACTAGAGCTAAAGCATTCTCAGTAGTCAGCTATCCAATTTCTTTTTGAAATTCAGAAGCATTATATAGTCCAGTGTGGTTGTCACTAGAACGTCACCAGGGGAATTATATGTATTTGAGGAAAGAGAGAATGGTAGTGGTTTCTGCCCAATATGGACAAGATTGCCAAAATCCCTCTGGGTTTTTCCATTTGTGGTCCAGGCTGTAGCGAGCAAGGACTACTTCGAAGTATCGACCATCTCCTTCTTCTCCATCCAATCTGATGTGACTCTATTTTCACCAAAGTTCCCTCAGCTCTTTTTCCCTATGTCTCCGTAGGAGAAGAAGCTCCTTCTGGCCCAGCTGCAAGATATGAGAGAGCAGAGTTTGAACCTCTTCCAGAAAAGGGACGAGATTGACGAGCTGGAAGGCTTTCAGCAGCAGGAGCTGGCAAAAGTGAAGCACATGGTAAGGTTTCCCAAGAGAAGAAACAGATCAACTTCCGGCTGGGTGGGTCGTTGAGTGGCGATGCCCACGTGCCAGGAGAGGGCTGAATTGAGAAGTCCGTCCCCCCCTCCACTGTTTATCCTTTTGGGCTCCTCCCAAATACACTTCTTCTATTTCTACCTCATCCAGGGTTTTATCATTTTACCTTGCCCATTTGGCCCACCCATTGTGTTCGATTTTATATTATGTTACTTTGCTTTGTCTACTCTAATTTGCTACTGTATATATTTTATTGTGATGTGATTTTTGTTGTTTACATATTGTATTTTATTTTGCTGTGTTGTATCTTTGGGCTTGGCCTCATGTTAGCTGCCCTGAGGTATAAATAAAGTTTATTATTATTATTATTATTATTATTATTATTATTATTATTATTATTTTGAGCCAGCGTTTCTCAACTTAGGAGTCAGGACCCCTGGGGGGATCACAAAGGAGGTGTCAGAGGGGTCAACAAAGACCATAAGAAAACACAGTATGTTCTGTTTGTAGGGGTTGTGGGAAATTTGCTCTACGAGTTCTCACCCACAAATAATTCTTTATCTCACCCTGAGTTTTCAAAATCATTTTATGTACATGTAGCCTACTCATTGTCATTTTGTTTACTGCTTTTTTGTATTTTGTTTATTGTAGTCATATGTTCTGTGTTTTATTGCGATGTTGTTTATTTTATTGTAACTTGTATCTTATTTTATTGTAATTCGTTGTTTGGGCTTGGCCTCCTGTAAGCCGCCCCGAGTCCCCATTGGGGAGATGGTGGCGGGATATAAATAAAGATTATTATTATTATTATTATTATTATTATTATTATTATTATTATTATTCTGAACCCCACCAATGATAGAATTTGGCCAAAATTATATCCGTTGCTACTTCATAACTATAATGTCAATGTCTAATCTTCAGGATGTATATTATTATTATTATTATTATTATTATTATTATTCTATCATTGGTGGGGTTCAGAATGCTCTTTGATTGTAGGTGAACTATAAATCCTAGCAACTACAAATGTCACGGTCTATTTTCCCCCAAACACCACCAGTGATCACATTTAGGCATATTTAGTATCTATGCCAAGTTTGGTCCAGATCCATCATTGTTTGAGTCCACAGTGCTCTTTGGATGTAGGTGAACTACAATTCCCAAACTCAAGGTCAATGCCCACCAAACCCTTCTATTACTTTCTGTTGGTCATGGGAGTTCTGTGTGTCAATTTTGGTTTAATTCCATCGTTGGTGGAGTTCAGAATGCTCTTTGATTGTCGGTGAACTATAAACCCCAGCAACTACAGCTCCCAAATGTCAAAGTCTATTTTTCCCAAACACCACCGGTGATCACATTTGAGTCCACAGTGCACCGGTGATCACTGTGATCACATTTTGGTTTAATTCCATCGTTTGTGGAGTTCAGAATGCTCTTTGATTGTAGGTGAACTATAAATCCCAGCAACTACAGCTCCCAAATGTCAAAGTCTATTTTACCCAAACACCACCAGTGATCACATTTGGGCATATTGAGTATCCGTGCCAAGTTTGGTCCAAATCCATCATAGTTTGAGTCCATAGTGCTCTCTGGATACAGGTGAACTACAACTCCAAAACTCAAGGTCAAGGCCCACCAAACCCTTCCAGTATTTTCTGTTGGTCATGCGAGTTCTGTGTGTCAATTTTGGTTTAATTCCATTGTTTGTGGAGTTCAGAATGCTCTTTGATTGTAAATCCCAGAACTATAAATCCCAGCAAAGACAACTCCCAAATGACAAAATCAATCCCTCCCAATCCCACCAGTATTCAAATGTGGGTGTATCAGGTATTTGTGCCAAATGTGGTCCAGTGAATAAAAATACATCCTGCATTTCAGATGTTGACATTACAATTCATACCAGTAGCAAAATTACAGTTAGCAACAAAAATAATGTTATGGCTGGGGGTCACCACAACATGAGGAACTGTATTAAGGTTGAGAAACACTGCTTTGAGCTGTTTCCCCAAAGAGCACTCCGACCTTGTTGTTCCTTGTTGAAATCCCCAGCTTTTGAAGAAAGAAGAGCTTCTGGCCCAGGTGGAGCAAGAGGCGGCAAGGGCCCGAGAGGAGCTCCAGGTCTCTCATGCATCCTCCTCACACCTGGCAGAAGAGCTGCAGCTTCTGAAAGAGCAACATGCAGACCTGCAGGCCGAAAGGTAGACATGGAAGCAGATTGGGAAGGGCTGAGGATGGGTCACTTCACCCCCAAATTGAGGGACTGGTATTTAGGGTTTCCAAGAGTGGCCAGAAAGGAAGGTTTCAGGCTGTTTATAATAGGACAGAACCTGCTAATGTGTTTTCTAAGGCTTTAATCAATTGATTTATTATTTATTTACTGCATTTGTATATGAAATATTTATTTACCGCATTTGTATAAGAAATTACCGAAAGGTAGACATGGAAGCATATTGGGAAGGGTGGAGGATGGGTCACTTCACCCCCAAATTGAGGGGCTGGTATTAAGGGTTTCCAAGAGTGGCCAGAAAGGAAGGTTTCAGGCAGTTTATAATGGGTCAGAACCTGCTAATGTGTTGCCTAAGGCTTTAATTAATTAATTAATTAATTAATTACCTTATTTGTATACGAAATATACTGAAAAGTAGACATGGAAGCAGATTGGGAAGGGCTGAGGATGGGTCACTTCACCCCCAAATTGAGGGGCTGGTATGGCGGTTCACAGTCGGCAGCGTTTCAATGCCATAACAAAATATCAAAATACAGTTAAAACAATTCAAAATTTAAAAGAAAAAGAAAACAATGCCTGGAATCACTGCTGTGAGTTTTCCGGCTGTCTGACCATGTTCCAGAGGCATTCTCTCCTGACATGTGGCAGGCACATCGATGGCAGGCATCCTCAGAGATTGTGAGGTCTGCCGGAAACTAAAATTGGGTTTATACCTGTGGAATAATGTCCGTGGTGGGAGAAAGAACTCTTTGCCTGTGTGAATGTTGCAATTGGTCACCATGATTAGCATTAAATCGTCTTGCAGCTTCAAAGCCTGGCTGCTTCCTGCCTGGGGGCATCATTTGTTGTGAAAGTTTGGGTGAAACACCCTTTTCATTTAGGGCCGAGCTCCGAGATGCAGCGAAGAGCGCGGAAAGCAAGATCTCCGTGTTAGAGCAGCGCGGCCATGAACTCCAAGGCTACATCCAACAATTATCAGTAAACCTACAGAAGGTAAGTCGAGAGGTGCGAGGCACTGCTTTGCAGGCCAGAAAAGGAGGGCTCAGCAGATGTTGCCTGACAGTTGATGTCATCAGAAGTAGCCAGTGACAAGAGATGCTGGCACTCGACACCCAGCAACACATACCCTACACCACTGTTCTAAAATAGGTCTGAAGAACTATTTGATTCAGTTGGTAGATCCTGGAGGGATGCCCAATAGTGTGGCCCATGGATAAGCTACGTTATCAGCCAGCTGATCCCCAACCCATCTAAAACACAGACATGTGCCTTTCATCTCAAGAACAGAGAAGCATCCCAAGCTCTGAGGATGACCTGGGAAGAAATCTGAGCCCAGTCCTCTGTGTGCCCAGGGAGGAGTCTCTCATTTGGTATCAGCCATTGGTTGAGGTTCTGGGTTTGAGCCTGCCACTTTTGGACTCTCACTTGCTGAGGTGTTCCAGCGAGTGTCTCTGTAGATCTTAGAAAATTATTTCTTGATTTAAGCCGTTGACGTGCTGGCTGATACCCAAACGGGATGAGCTGGAGATGTCACTGCCTTGGTCCTTTCACTATTGGCTGCTACTTCCCGGTGGAAGCAATACCGGCTAGGTAGTGTAATTTCTCCAGTGGTGTAGGATGCAGACACCCCGTGATGATGTCTCATTAAGAGCCACATCCACTGTTTTAGCGTGGTGAGATGTGTTCCACACTGGGCATGCATACTCAGCAGCAGAGAAGCATAGCGCAAGGGCAGATGTCTTCACTGTATCTGGTTGTGATCCCCAGGTTGTGCTAGTCAGCTTTCGTATGATATTGTTTCTAGCACCCACTTTTTGCTTGATGTTCAGGCAGTGCTTCTTGTAGGTAAGAGCACGGTCCAGGGTGACTCCCAGGTATTTGGGTGCGCTGCAATGCTCCAGTGGGATTCCTTCCCAGGTAATCTTCAGAGCTCGAGATGCTTGTCTGTTCTTAAGGTGAAAAGCACAAATCTGCATTTTAGATGGATTAGGAATCTCCTGGTTTCCCCTGTGATAGGCAGTAAGAGCACCTAAAGCTTCAGAGAGCTTCTGTTCAACCATTTCAAAACTCCCTGTTTGAGTGGTGATGGCATGATCGTCAGCATAGATGAAACTCTGTCCCTTCTGGTATAAGTTCTGGAATGTCAAAATGTTTTTTTATTATCTTGGTTCGAGACATAGTCCTTAAAACTTTGTGAAAGTCAAGCTTAGGGTTCTTTTTCTTCTATCTCCTACCTAGGCTCAGGGCGCTGCCTGTGGTTGTGAAAAGAAATTGGAAACCTTACAGGGAGAGCATGACTCTCTGAAGGTGGAGTACGAACAGTATAAGCAAAAGGTAAGGACCGATGTTCCCAAATGTTGAAAAGGTGAAAAAGGCCCCCAAAAGGAGACTTCTAGTGTTTGAACACAGACTTGGCCCAGAGCCGTGCCATTTGTATCTAGGGAAGCTGAAACATATCTAGACAATAAATAATTACTTAATGTTGGTTTCAGCCCATTTCAAATTCCACTTTTCCTCTGGTAAATATTTGGACGCTGCTCTGAATACCACAGATCTTTCCCTTTTCTTTTGTTTGGAAATGCCTAATCCTGCAAGGAGGTTTAAAAAGGCCTCCAGTGGCTCCATATGTCATTTATTATTATTGCATTTATTTATTATTATTATTTCATCTATTACTTTACTGTATTTATTATTATCGTATTTATTATTGTATTTATTATTTTTATTATTACATCTATTACTTTACTGTATTTATTATTATTGCATTTATTATTTTACTCTATTTTTATTACTGCACTTATTATTTTACCTATTATTGTTGTTATTACATTTATTATTACAATAATAATAGAGTAAAATAATATATGTAATAAATGTAATACTTTATTACATTTATTATTTTACACTATTATTATTGTTATTATTGTTATTGGAACCCCCAGTGGTGCAGTGGGTTAAACTTTGTTGAACTTGCTGACCAAAAGGTCAGCGGTTCGAATCTGGGGAGCGGGGTGAGCTCCCACTGTTAGGCCCAGCTTCTGCCAACGTAGCAGTTCGAAAACATGCAAATGTGAGTAGATCAATAGGTACAGTTCCCACAGAAACTGTACCTATTGATCTACTCACATTTGCATGTGGGAAGGTCATGGTGCTCCGTGCAGTCATGCTGGCCACGTGACCTTGGAGGTGTCTACTGACAACGCCGTCTCTTTGGCTTAGAAATGGAGATGAGCACCAACCTCCAGAGTCGGACATGACTAGACTTAATGTCAAGAGGAAACCTTTACCTATATTAAGGAATGTAACGTAGTGTTTAATTGTGATTTTATATTGTTTGATGTGCTTTTTATATTGTTTTTTGTATTTTATTTTTTATTTATTGTTGTTGTATGTTGTTATTAGCATTGCTATACTGTATTGTAGGGCTTGGCCTCATATAAACTGCCCTGAGTCCCCTTGGGGAGATGGTGGCGGAGTATAAATAAATTATTATTATTATTATTATTATTATTATTATTATTATTATCGAGAGAGAGAAAAAGCTGAACTGGAAAACCACAGCTCACAGCTTCTGCCACTAAAGCTTGTGTGCCAGCTGTGCCCGTACCTTGGGAAGTCTGACTTGGCCACGGTAGTCCACGCTCTGGTTACATCCCGTTTAGACTACTGCAACGCTCTCTACGTGGGGTTGTCTTTGAAGACTGCTCAGAAGCTCCAACTAGTCCAACGCTCGGCAGCCATGATTTTAACAGGAGCAGGGAGCATACAACCCCCCTGTTGTGCCAACTCCACTGGCTACCGAAATCTGCTACCGGGCTGAATTCAAAGTGCTGGCATTGGCCTTTAAAGCCCTAAACGGTTCCAGCCCAAGCTACCTATCTGACCGCATCTCTGCCTATGAACCCACCAGGACTTTGAGATCTTCCGGGGAGACCCTGCTCTCGATCCCGCCTGCTTCTCAAGCTCGGCTGGCGGGGACGAGAGATAGGGCCTTCTCGGTTGTGGCTCCTCGGCTGTGGAACGCCCTTCCTACGGACATTAGACTAGCACCATCTCTAATGGTATTCCGCAAAAAGGTGAAGACCTGGATGTTTGTGCAGGCGTTTGAGTAATTTAGTGCAATCTGGTAATGGAACATAGGAATGGAACAATGGACGACGAACCTGGACTACTCTTGGATGATGAGAAGATTGGGTACGGTTGTTTTTCGTAATAATTGTGCATTGTAATTGCTTATTGGTAATTTATGGATAATGTGTTAAGTCAATTGTTATATGTTGTATGGAACCACTGCTGTTTCTACTGTTTTTACTGTTTGTGAACCGCTGTGAGTCGCCTTCGGGCTTGAGATACAGCGGTATATAAGCAAAGTAAATAAATAAATAAATAAATAATAAATAACATTGCTCATAAATGTGTATGTTTCCTGATGTTTGCATGTTAGATAACACTCGTATGTGTGTTCTGTCAGGTGGCTCTTGAAGTGGAGGAGAAAAGCCAGCTTATGGGCCACTTGCAGGAGAAAGTGGCCATCTTGGAGAAGCGGTTAGAAGGGAACCTCTCTGGCGATGAACATATTTGGGACCTGCTCAGAGAGGTAAATGTGACTTGTGAATAGTATCCAGAAAGGATTACTCTGTAACTCTCTGAGGCAGCATGTTCCAATGTCAAACAGCTCTTACTCTCAGGAAGCCCTTCCTAAAATTTAGGTGGAATCTTTTTTCTTTCAGTTTGAATCTAGTTTGGTCGTTGGTAGCTCTATTTATTAGAAAAAAGCCAGTCTTTCCTGTTGTTTTTTATGAATGCTCCCATTAGAAAATGCATAAGGATGTGGGTGAATTCCCAAAATCGTGGGCCAATCACCCCAAATCCCACCAGTATTCAAAGTTGGCCATGTTGGGTCTGTGTGCCAAGTTTGGTCCAGATCCGAAGTCAGCTGCATTCAGTGCTCTCTTGATGCGGGCAAACTACAACTCCCATATGTCAAAGGAATCATCTCCAAACCTCACCTGTATGCACAGTTGGCCATGTTGGGGCTGTGTGCCAAGTTTGGTCCAGATCCGAAGTCAGCTGCATTCAGTGCTCTCTTGATGCGGGCAAATTACAACTCCCATATGTCAAAGGAATAATCTCCAAACCTCACCTGTATGCACAGTTGGCCATGTTGGGGCTGTGTGCCAAGTTTGATCCAGATCCGACGTTGGCTGCGTTCAGTGCTCTCTTGATGTGGGTGAACTACAACTCCCATATGTCAAAGGAATCACCCCCAAACCCCGCCTGTATGCACAGTGGGCCATGTCGAGTCTGTCTGCAAATTTTGATCCAGATCCAACTTTAGCTGCATTCATTGCTCTCTTGATGCAGGCGAACTACAACTTCCAATGGCCAAGAGAATTACCCCCATACCCCTGCAGTATGTTCAGTTGGTCACAGGGCTTCTCTGTTCTAAGTGTGGCCTTGGTTCATTGTTGGTTGGGGTCACTGTATTGCTGGATGCAGGTGAACTACAACTCCCAAAATCAAGATCAATTCCCACAAACCCCTGCAATATGTTTGGGTGATCATGGGGCTTCTCTGTGTAACTAGACACCCCAGCCACATACACACATACATATTTTGCACTTTTATTTTGACTGGAGTTACACTTAAAAAATGTACCTGTTCCGACTTGCATACCAATTCAACTTGAGAACAAACCTATCTTGTTTCTAACTTGGGGGCTCCCTGTACTAATAAATAATAGCGGCCTGTCCTTTTCCCCAGAAAAGTGCTCTGGAACAGCGGTTAGAAGATGCCCGGCAGCAGCTCTTGGCAGCAAGGACCAGCCACACAGAGAGCGTGAGCCAGCTGGAGACTCAGGTAGGTCGTGATATGTGAAATGCAAATATCCCTCCACATTTGCAGTTTTGGCTTTGGAGGGAAATCGGGGTGGTTACTGACGACGCACGCTGACCTAGGGCTGTATCACTCGACGTGGCGCAGCTGGTGAAAGTTGCCCAGGTGACTCTCCTGGTTGTGCGTTTCAGCTCAAGGCTCAGAGGTGGTGTGTGTTACATCCTAGATCAACCAGCTGAATGGCCAACTGGCCGAAGGGCAGGCACACCTGAGTGAGACGGAGGAGCGAGTGCGCAGTCTCCAGGAAAATGGCGCACAACAGGTAATAGCCATGCGAAGACGGTAAACATCCCTTTTCCTGGACTGTAAGGGTGGGCAATCTCCTTCTCTGGAGATTTTTAAGCAGAGGCTAAATGGCCATCTCTCAGGAGGGATTGAGTGGTGCCTTCCTCCATGGGGTTGGACTGGATGACCCTTGGGATCTCTTCCAACTCTAGGATTCAGTGTCAGAGAAATGAAAACCTTGTATTGTCGAAGGCTTTCATGGCCGGAATCACTGGGTTGTTGTAGGTTTTTTCGGGCTATATGGCCATGGTCTAGAGGCATTCTCTCCTGACGTTTCGTCTGCATCTGTCAGGCCATTATATGCTAATCAAGGTGGTCAGTTGAAACATTCACACCTAGCTCCACCAGACAAGATTCCTTTGTCTCACCCTGATCATTCCACAGATATATAAACCCATTTTCCTAGTTCCAACAGACCTCACTACCTCTGAGGATGCTTGCCATAGATGCAGGCAAGATGTCAGGAGAGAATGCCTCTAGACCATGGCTATATAGCCCGAAAAAAACCTACAACAACCCAGAAAACCTTCTTTCTTTTCCAGCTGAAAGTTCTTGAAGAAGCTTTCCAGTTGGCCAACGAGGCCGCAGCAAAAAGCAAGGAAGAGGTAGAGGAGCGAGAGCTTCGCATCCAACAGTTGGTGAGTTAGCATGGTCAGGGTTTTGACAGAATATAAAGCAGAAGGAGCACACTTTGCAGCTAAATATTCCATTGGTCACCATTATTATTATTATTATTATTATTATTATTATTATTATTATTATTATTATTGCAATGCAACCTGAGCCCTGCTGCGTGGAGGACCTTCTTATGGTAACACCAGAGGCACTCCAAGTGGCCAGCTACTGGTCAAAGGACATTTAATCAACTACCAAGCTTGCAAACTTTGTGGTTTGTTTGTTTGTTTGTTTTTAATGCAATACAACTGTTTGGTTCACTCCTGACACGATAAATAAATAAATACCATTATTATTAACTAGCTTGGGTACTCGGCTTTGCCCAGGTTATTTTAAAAATTAAAAATTGTACAAAATGCATAAGTTTGTGGGTGAACTACAATTCCCATCATGCCAGGTTAACCCCGAAAAACTCCATCAGTACTTTTTGTTATGTTGGGCAGGTTTTCTCTAGATGCATCATTGGTGGGGTTTGGTGTCCTCTCTGGCTATAGGGTAAACTACAACTCCCATTATGGTGAGTCAGTCTCCTCAAACCCCAGGTTGAGTTAATTGTGGGGATTCTGTGTGGTAAGTTTGCTCCAAGTCCATCATCAGTAGAGGTCACTGTTTCCCTGGTTGTGGGTGAACTACAACTCCCAGAAAGGAAGGTCAGTTCCCCCTCAAACCCCTCCAGTAATCAAATTTCAACATATCAGTTATGTGTGCCAAGTGTGGTCTAGATCCATCAGTGTCTTGGGTTCACAGTGCTCTCTGGGTGTAGGTGAACTACAACTCCCCCAAATCAAGGTGATTTCCTCCCAAAGTCTTCTGATATTTTTTTTACTCTGTGTGCCAAGTTTGGTCCAATTCCATCTTTGATGGAGTTCAGAGTGCTCCTTGATTGCAGGTGAACTATAAATCCAATTACCTATAACTCCAAAATGTCAAGGCCAATCCCTCACCAAAAAACCTACCAGTATTCAAATGTGGACATATTGGGTATGCGTGCTAAATTTGGCCCAGACCCATCATTGTTTGAGTTCATAGTGCGCTCTGGAAATAGGTGAACTCCAACTCCAAACTGTCCAGACCAATTCCCCGCAAAACCCACCAGTATTCAAATGTGGGGACATCGGGTATGCATGCCAAGTTTGGTCCAGATCCATCCTTCTTTGGATTAATAGTCTGCTTTTGATGTTGGTGAACTACAACTCCTATATGTACCTCCAAAAACCTCTAGTATTTTGTGTTGGTCTTGAGGATTCTATGTGCCAAGTTAGTTCCAGGTCCATCATTGGTGGAGTTCAGAGTGCTCTTAGATTGTAGGTGAACTACACATCCCAGGATCTACAACTCCTATAAATCATGGTGAATTCTCCCCACACCCCTCCAGTATGTTCAGTTGCTAATCCGTATCTCTGTTTGCTGTGTGCCATAGTAATGAATAAGAAAGGGTTAAGGGAGAGGCAGTGGGTGGGGTCATGCAAATTCCACACCAATGGAGAGAGAAAGCAACACTGGGATGTCTGTGGTGGAGGAAACACATAAAATCTAGGATGAAATTGTCCTCGTATGAATGCCTTCACTCGGGTGGTGGGCGGTATGGCGTTTGTGGAGGACACTGGCAGGACTCTTGGGCAAGTTTACAACACTCGCTATAACCTGCAATGTCATTGGAGGGAGGGGCATTGGTGTCTCCTACGTAGTGGAAGCTATAGATGTTTGTGAAGGCAGGACTTAAACACAGGATGTATTAAAAATACCTAGTTGGAACCAGTCCTACCATTGCCCTTTCACAGCAAGGGGACCTGGAGCTGGGAAGGATCAAATGGGAGGAAGAACTTTCGGCTGCACAGCATCACTGTGCAGAGCAAGTGGCGGAGCTGGAGGAGAAGGCAGAGGCTCTCGTGGCTGCGCAGGAGTCCGAAAGGGAGGCTTCTCAGCACAGAATTGTGAGTGACGCTCCAGAGCAGCATTCCAGCTCCTTTCCACAAAAGGGGAATTAAACTGTCAAGGAGCAGCTTGAAGGAGGATGTGGGTGTCGAAAGATGCATTGTTGTTTAGCTCAGATATACAATCGTAGAACAGAACTATATAGAGTTGGAAGAGACCCCCAAGGGCCATCCAGTCCAACCCCATTCTGCCAGGCAGGAAGACACAATCAAAGCGTTCCCGACAAATGGCTATCCAGCCTGTTTCAAAACCTCCAGCGAAGGAGACTCCACCAGACTCTGAGGCAGTACATTCTACTATTACATCACTAGCTTGGGTACCCGGCGTTGTCCAGGTTGTTTGCACAAAATACATAAGGTTGTGGGTGAACTACAACTCCCATCATGCCAGGTTAACCCTGAAAAACTCCATCAGTACTTAAAAATTTGTTTATGTTGGGCAAGTTTGCTCTAGATGCATCCTCAGTGGGGTTCAGCTCTCTGGCTGTAGGGTAAACTACAACTCCCACTATGGTGAGTCAGTCCCCTCCAGTAGGTTGAGTGAGTCATGGGGGTTCTGTATGCCAAGTTTGGTTCCAGTCAATCATTGGTGGAAGTCACAGTTTCTCAGGTTGTGGGTGAACTACAACTCCCAGAAAGGAAGGTCACTTTTCCCCCCAAACCTCTCCAGTAAACAAATTTTGACATTTCAGGTATCTATGCAGGTATCTAAACAAGTGTGCTCTCAGGCTGTATGGTAAACGACAACTCCCACTATGGTGAGTCAGTCCCCTCAAACCCCTCCAGTAGGTTGAGTGAGTCATGGAGGTTCTGTGTGCCAAATTTGGTCCCGGTTCATCACTGGTGGAGGTTACCGTTTCTCAGGTTGTGGGTGAACTACAACTCCCAGAAAGGAAGGTCACTTCCCCCCAAACCCCTCCAGTAAACAAATATCAGCATATCAGGTATATATGCCAAGTTTGGTCCAGATCCATGGGTGTTTGGGTTTACAGTGCTCTCTGGATGTAGGTGAACTACAACTCCCCTAAATGGAGGTAAATTCCCTCAAAGTCCTGGTCATGGGGGCTCTGTGTGCCAAGTTTGGTCAGAGGCTTCCGTGGCCGGAATCACTACATTGCTGTGAGATTTCTAGACTGTATAGCCATGTCTTAGAAGCATTCTCTCCTGACGTTTTGCCCTCAACCTCTGAGGATGCCTGCCATAGATGGGGGCAAACATCAGGAGAGAATGCTTCTGGAACATGGTCATACGGTCTAGAAAACTCACAGCAATGTATTTGTAACTGGCTTTTCCATACCTATATGGAAATGATTAACCATTTTGAGGCAGGAACACTCCCAAAATTTCCTCTCGATGCCTCTTTGAAATAGCTATTTTGAAGTAAGGGAAATAAGGATGGTTGGGCGGTGAGAAGTGAGGGCAGCATTGAACTCAAAACAGTGCAATCCTATCTGTGTAGCCATTAAAACAGATATGGATCAGAATAGGACCTTTGAAAAGTATTTAGATTTTCAGATTGAACAACAGACAACAAAGCTGGGTTGCTGTGAGTGTTCCGGGCGCAGCCATGAAAGCCTTCGACAACGTCAATAAAGCATTAGTTATGCAAACTGATAGATAACTGACTCGGAGCTGCTGGCATAGAACTGCATCGCAAGGTGAATCAAAGGGAGTATGGGAATCGCCAGATCTAAATACAGTCTTGTATTTATATCCTCCTTTCCTTAGAGGCAATTAGAGAGTGAAAACGAAGAACTTAACATCAGATGTAAGGAGGCAGAAAAGTTAATGACGACGCAAGAGTCCGAACTGGAGAGACTAAAGGTATGGAGACAGGTCTCGAGAACTGGAGTCAACACTCTGAATGTTTATTTGTCATCCTCTCGAAGGAAATGGGAGGCGAGCTTCTGGTCAAGCCCAGATATGATACATGGGAATCATAAAATCATAGAGTTGGAAGAGACCTCATGGGTCATCCAGTCCAACCCCATTCTGCCAAGAAGCAGGACAATCACATATAAAGCACCCCCGACAGATGGCCATCCAGCCTCTGTTCCAAAGCCTCCAAAGAAGGGGCCTCCACCACACTCCAGGGCAGAGAGTTCCACTGCTGAACAGCTCTCACAGTCAGGAAGTTCAGATGGAATCTCCTTTCTTGTCATTTGAAGCCATTGTTCCATTGCGTCCTAGTCTCCAGGGCAGCAGAAAACAAGTTCGCTCCCTCCTCCCTTTGACTCCCTCTTGTATATTTATACATAGCTATCATGTCTCCTCTCTGCCTTCTCTTCTGCAGGCTAAACATGCCCAGCTCTTTAAGCCACTTCTCATAGGGCTTGTTCTCCAGATCCTTGATCATTTTAGTTGCCCTCCTCTGGACACATTCCAGCTTGTCAATATCTCTCTTCAATTGTGGTGCCCAGAACTGGACACATTTCCCATCATGGTCAACTGTGAATACGCACATATGGTAGTTTCTGCGCTTGAGCAGACAGCTTCGGAACCTTCTAGACAGATTTGAAAAAATTTGGCGGTTGGCCCCGCCCACTTTCCCCTTGCGAGTATAAGTAGCAGGTGGGCGGCGCCACTGCCTCAGTTCTCTTCATCCGCCGCTCTGTCAGCAGCTGAGAACCTTTGTTTGTGTGACTAGCTTTTTTGGACTGCCTGACTGACTAAACTGGACTGTCTATCGCTCTCTGACTTTCTCCACTCTGACCTGGTCTGTTTGCTGAATTTCTGACTTAAAGTATTCTCCTTTCAACCGTCATGGCGGCCACTTTGGCTTTTAAGCGCTGTGCCTCATGCTCAGCGAGCTATTCAGGCAACATTGGCCTTTTGCTATGTTTGTTGTGCCTGGGGGACAGACAAACAAGGAAAAATCTGGTACTTCATCTGAATGCTGCGCTTTATGAGCGGAGCCTCCTCCGTACTGTTCTTGAGCCATCCAACTCCAAAACTCCAAGATATAGAAATGAATGGGAAATGTTGGTGAGGGCGACGGTCTCTCCCCCACTACTTATATTTTAGGGTTCTCCTACATCTCAGGATTGCTTCTCTTTTGCAGGCAGAACTGAGCAGGAGTGCTGAAATGGCCCAAACCCAGGAGGAGACACAGAAGGAACTGCAACAACAGGTGAGAAGGGACTGCGGGTGGTGGCTTCTCAGCTCCAGGGGTTCTTGGATGAAATTGATGATCTTGATCCCTCGCAGTCTGGTTTTAGGCCGACCACGGAATGGGGACAGCTTTGGTCACCTTGGTGGATGACCTCCACAGAGGACTAGACAGGGGGAGTGTGTCCCTGCTGGTTCTCTTGGACATCTCAGCAGCTTCTGATACCATTGACTGTTGTATCTTTTTGGGTTGGCTCTCTGGAATGAGTCTTGGGGACACTGCTCTGCAGTGCTCTGCAGTGGCTCTGCTCCTTCCTGGAGGATCGTACCCAGATGGTGACGCTGGGGGACACCTGCTTGGACCCCTGGCCATTGTCCTGCGGGGTCCCAGAAGGCTCTATTCTGTCCCACATGCTTTTCAACATCTACATGAAACCGCTGGGAGAGCAACACTCAAAAAAGTTGGATGTCATCTCTCTGCAGATGACACACTACTCTACTACTCTTTTCCAACCCATTCCTGGGCCAGTGCTTGGCAGCTGTGATTGACTGGATGAGGGCCAAAAAGCTGAAGCTTAACACAAGAGTGAGGTCCTCCTGGTCAGTTGCGGGGCCGATAGGGGTCTAGGGCGGCAACCTGTGCTCAAAGGAGTTACACTCCCTCTGAGGACACGGGTCAGCAGTCTGGGTGTTCTCCTGGACTCAGTGCTGTCAGCCCCAGCTTCTGCCAACCTAGCAGTGTGAAAACATGCAAATGGCAGGAAGGTAACGGTGCTCCATGCAGTTATGCTGGCTACATGACCTTGGAGGTGTCTATGGACGACGCCGGCTCTTTGGCTTTCAAGTACAGGCCAAGGTCTTGAAGCACTGGAACATAGTAATAACCAGTTTAATATATTCAACCTGAGACTAGATTTGAAAGCAAGGACTGGTAGTCACACTGTGACGTATTTATTTTCTTGCTCTTAGGTTGCAGATTTGACGTCATCGTTACATGAGAAAGATCTGCTGATTGTGGAAAAAGCAGACCGGCTTTTGAAAGAGGAGGAAGAGCTGACGTGCTTAAGGCAAGGTGAGAAATTTGACAGATATTAAATCTTGAGTCTTGAAGCCATTGGTTTATATCCTAGTGGAATAATGTCCAGAGTTGCCTGTTGGAGACAAATGTGAATGTTACAATTGGCCAGCTTGATTAGCATTGAATAGCCTTGCAGCTTCAAAGCCTYGCTGCTTCCTGCCTGGGGGAATCCTTTGTTGGGAGGTGTTGGCTGGCCCTGATTGTTTRTTGTCCAGAGTTTTATCATTTTATGTCGTACATTTGGCTCGCTCATTACGTTTCAGTTTTRATTTTGTTACTTTGCACTGTTTTATTGTACTTTTATGTTTTTACTTATTTTATTGTGATGTTATTTTTGTCGTTTTGRATTTATTTTGCTGTAACGTATTACCMGGTTTGGCCTCATGTAAGCCACCCCAAGTCCCCTTTAGGGAGATGGTGGCGGACTTTAAAGATTATTATTATTATTATTATTATTATTATTATTATTATTATTATTATTATTATTTACTAGCCATCCCCTGCCACACGTTGCTGTGGCCCACATGGGGGTTCTGTGTGGGAGGTTTGGCCRAATTCTATTGTTGGCGGGGTTCAGAATGCTTTGTGATTGTAGGTGAACTATAAATCCCAGCAACTACAACTCCCAAATGTCAKGATTCTATTTTCCCCAGACTCCACCAGTGTTCACATTTGGGCATATTGAGTATTCGTGTTGAGTTTGGTCCAGATCCATCATTGTTTGTGTCCACCTCTGGATGTAGGTGAACTACAACTCCAYAACCAAAGGACACTCCCCACCAAACCCTTCCAGTATTTTCTGTTGGTCATGGGAGAACTGTGTGCCAAGTCTGGTTCAATTCCATCGTTGGTGGGATTCAGAATGCTCTGTGATTGTAGGTGAACTATAAATCCCAGCAACTACAACTCCCAAATGACAAAATCAGTTTTTTTTAGTGAAGGGTTGTTAGGTGCCTTGTATCCAAATTTGGTGTCAATTCGTCCAGTGGTTTTTGAGTTCTGTTAATCCCACAAATGGACATTACATTTTAATTTATATAAATTGTTGTTGTTGTCTGGAATTCCTGTTTTTTAAGTGTTGCTGTTTGTTTACAATCCCAATTTTAGAATTTTTTTAAATACTGGTAGCCACATTTTGTTCATTTTCATGGTTTCCTCCTTTCTGTTGAAATTTGTTAGAAATATTAAAAATTAACTAGGTATTTTTAATTACAAAATGTGAGTCAAAATCAACACACAGCATGCCCATCAGTACCGGCAGCTTTCCCCCCCTCACCATATGTGCAAATTTCACAGATCACCAAAGAAACATGGTTACAGGTAAGCAAGCATGACTTTCCTTTCTTCTAGGCCACGATGCGCTTGTGCTGCAGGTCCAACAGTTGCAGTCCAGTCTCAAGCTTTGCCAGCGCCAGGCCGCAGAACGGGAAGCCGAGGCAGAAGAGCAGAGGAGCGCATTGCAAGCCCAGCTGCAGGAACAGCAGGAGTGGCTGACGGCCAGCGAGAAGCAAGTGAGTGGCCCTGAGCTGGGATGCGCGCCTTTCTTCTTCATGGTCCCTGTGAAATCGCACATATGGGTTCACTCCTGGTCCCTGTGAAATTGCACAATATATTTTATTGTTGTGTTTTTAGGTTGTGTATTTGCATTGTTATATTGCTGGGCTTGGCCTCATGTAAGCCATCCCGAGCCCCCTTGGGGAAGATGGTGGCGGGGTATAAATAAAGATTATTATTATTATTATTATTATTATTATTATTATTATTAAAACGACCCATCTTCCAACTGTGATCCCTTTTGCCAGGCATCTGCAGCCTTGAAAAACCACTTGCACGCCTCCGAAGGGGGAGAAGCAGAGACTAACGGGGAGGTGGACGCCGCCGATGTCGTCCAGCTCCAGAAGGAGAACCGAGATCTGGAACAGCAAATTGCTGAGAAGAATAAGGTAAGGAGTTGTTTTGGGGACCTTCACCCTGTGAACGAGACAATTCGTTAAGCAGCCATGTCCTCCTTGCTCTCTTTGGGAAAATATGTTTATGCTTCTTTGCATCAGTTGCCCTTGGAATGTGATATTTTAATACCTGATGCCTCTCTGTCCTTTGGAAATGGTTATGCAAGGATGTTCAACGGATGTTATGGGAAGGTGGACTCAGGTCTCTCCTGTCTCCATTTTTAGATGATAAAGCAGCTCCAGCAGAGAATGACGGAACTCAAGAAGACCTTGCAGAAAGAGTTGGTAAGTGGAGGACATTCCCCAAGTCTTTTATCTGCCATTCATTTAAGAAACTGCGCATTGTATTGTCGAAGGCTTTCATGACTGGAATCACTGYGTTGCTGTGAGTTTTTCGAGCTGTCTAGCCATGCTCCAGAAGCATTCTCTCCTGACATTTCACCCACATCTATGGCAGGCATCCTCAGAGGTTGTGAGGTCTGTTGGAAACTAGGCAAGTGGGGTTTATYTATCTGTAGAATAATGTCCAGGGTGGGAGAAAAAACTCTTTGTCTGTTGGAGGCGGGTGCGGATATTGCAATTGGCCTGCTAGGTTAGCAATGAATAGCCTGGCAGCTTCAAGGCCTGGCTGCTTCCTGCTTGGGGGAATCATTGGTTGGCAGCTGTGGACAAGTCTATATAGGCACTTTGACTTGTATCCAAAAACATTGCTAGCCACTGGAGTCCTATGTGTGGCTGTGAGTTTTTCCGGGCTGTATAGCCATGTTCCAGAAGCATTCTCTCCTGATGTTTCGCCTACATCTATGGCAGGCATCTTCAGAGGTTATGAGGTTTGTTGGAAACTAGGCAAGTGAGGTTTATGTATCCGTGGGAAGCTCTTTAGGACTTGAAAAGACTTTTGAGGGATTTGCTTGAGAGTGGGGCAATTCTAGTATTTTAGAAGCCATCACTTTGGCCCACCAGCCGACTCATAAATAAGCTGCCATTAGTTGCCGTTGTCTCCCTGCCTAACTCCTTTTTATATTCGTTTGCTTTGCATCTCATTTGCATGTTTGCAGCCAGCCATCTTGAGCACCATGTGGTGGAGGAACAGAATATAAATTTAGTAAATACATTTACATAATTTATGCTGGTTGATCAATCCATTGGTGCGGAATGTGCTAGGATCAAAGATGGAGAGTTTAGGAACACCTTTCGCAAGATGAAACTATGAGACTGTTTGAATTTATTGATTTTTTTGGGAAGAGTTTTTTATTCCCCAAGACGACTTTAGAGAGGTTTGGCAAGTGATTGTTTCGCCTGGCTTATTAATCTCCTTATTTTAGAAAATCAAGCCCGAGGCCGAGGTCCCCGAAGCACCCGTTCCGGCCTTGACTGTGACAAACAATTCAGATCTGAACGACTCCCGAGAGATAAACTTTGAGTACTTAAAGCACGTGGTCCTGAAATTTATGTCCTGCAGGGAATCAGAGGTAAGATAAGGGGCTTCTGCGTTGTTTAATGTTTATTATTAGGTAAAGGTTTTTCCCTGACATTAAGTCTCGTCGTGTCCGACTCTGGGGGTTGGTGTTCATCTCCATTTCTAAGCCAAAGAGGCGGCATTTTCCATAGACAACTCCAAGGTCATGTGGCCAGCATGACTGCATAGAGCGCCGTTACCTTCCCACTGAAGCAGTACCTATTGATCTACTCACATTTGCATCTTTTTGAACTGATAGGTTGGCAGAAGCTGGGGCTAACAGTGGGAGCTCACCCTGCTCCCCAGATTCGAACCTGTGACCATTTAGTTAGTAAGTTCAGCAGCTCAGTGGTTTAACTCATCGGGGGCTCATGTTTATTATTAGTTGTGGAGCCGCAACTAGCACAGAGGGTTAAACCACCAGCTACAGAAGATCTTCTGCAGTTCAAGCTGCGGACCAGGGTGAGATCCCACCGTCAGCCCTAGCTTCTGTTTACCTAGCAGTTCGAAAACAGCAATGTGAGTAGATAAACAAGTACTGCTTTGGTGGTGAGATCAAAGGCGTCCCTGAAAAAACATGCCGGCAATTCAATCAGGAAGGCGTCCATGGAGAACAGGCTCCTCGGCATGGAAAAATGAAACAACTGCACCTTCCTATGGCCGAGTCGAGCACAGCCTCCAGATGCCAGGGATGAAAAGAGGGAAGCCTTGCCTCTGTTTATGTACTGACTGTCTTTTGTATAAAGGCACTGAATGCATGACATGTATGAACCCTGTGCTCTGCTCTGAGTCCCCTTGGGGAGATAGAGAGGAATATAAATAAAGTACATTAGCTGGGATAAAGGTAAATAATAAAGGAGCGGGAGTGTGGATCAACGATAGATCTCAACTTTACTTTTCTTATGGGTTAGAAGAGTTTGATGCTCCCCACACAGCCCACTGTCACACCTGCGGTTGCTTTGCAGGCATTCCAGCTCATCAAAGCTGTCTCAGTGTTGCTTGGCTTCTCTCAAGAAGAGGAAAACATGCTCAAGGAAACGCTGGAGTACAAGGTAAAGGCTTTAAACTCTTCAAAGTGGAGCCACACGTGCCTTTCCATTTATTGAGAATCGCACTGCCAAGTGATGGCTTGAATGTGTGAATCAGTCACTATTTCACCTTTTCAACAGTTAAGTTGACAGTGGAATGCGCTGGAGGTTTTCCCACAGAGACTGGCTGGCCATCTAAAATCATAGAATCCTAGAGTTGGAAGAGATCTCGTGGGCCATCCAGTCCAACCCCATTCTGCCAAGAAGAAAGAAAATCACATTCAAAGCAACCATCCAACCTCTGTTTCAAAGCCTCCAAAGATGGAGCCCCACCATATTCTGGGGAAGAGAGTTCCACTGTGCGTGCTGCAAACTTAGACATAGAGGGAGACATAGAAAGCGAACGTAAAAGTCTCCTCAGTGAAGTGAGGAGCAGTATGCTCTGTTTTATTGTGCATCCTCAGGGGGAAGAAGTAAAGCTGTGGTTGCCACTTTACTCAGCACTGTAGTTCTCTTCCCCACCCCCCAGCACCAGTCTGTTGGTCTCTTTCACCCCCCACAAACACCACTAAAGCTGCTGCTGCTGCACAGCACCAATCAGCAACAGTCTGTGGGTCTCTCTCATCCTACACAAATATTAGGTGATAGGGAAAAAGCTTCAGGAAGCAGTCTGCTACTGAGCCCAAGGTCGGCTTCCTGTCATGTCCCGGTCATTTTGTGCGTGCTGCAAGCTGAGGCATAGAGGGAGACATAGAAAGCGAATGTAAAAGTCTCCTCAGTGAAGTGAGGAGCAGGATGCTCTGCTTTAGGTATTGTGTGTCCTCAGGGGAAAGAAGTAAAGCTGTGGCTGCCAGTTTATTCAGCACGGTGGGTCTCTTCCCACCCCCAGCACTGAGCAGCAACAGTCTGTGGGTCTCTCTCACCCCCCACAAACACCACTAAAGCTGCTGCTCCACAGCACTGATCAGCAACAGTCTGTGGGTCTCTCTCACCCTACACAAATATCAGGGGATAGGGAAAAAGCTTCAGCAGGTCGGCTCCCCCCTGTCAAGTCCCGGTCATTCTGTGCGTGCTGCAAGCTGAGGCATAGAGGGAGACATAGAAAGCGAATGTAAAAGTCTCAGTGAAGTGAGGAGCAGTATGCTCTACTTTAAGTATTGTGTGTCCTCAGGGGGAAGAAGTAAAGCTGTGGCTGCCAGTTTATTCAGCACTGTGGGTCTCTCTCCCCCAGCACCAACCAGCAACAGTCTGTGGGTCTCTTTCACCCCACACAAACACCAGTACATCTGTTGTTCCCCAGCACTGATCAGCAACAGTCTGTGGGTCTCTCTCACCCCACACAAACACCAGGTCATAGGGGAAAAAGCTTCAGCAAGCAGTCTGCTACTGAGACCTGAAGATATCCCATAAATGCAGATTGTTTTACCATATATAATAAAAATAAGACATCCCCTGAAAATAAGCCATTGTATGTCTTTTTGAGGAAAAATAAATATGACAGTGTCTTATTTTTGGGGAAATGCGGCATATTTGGTTTGGCGTATACTCGAGTATATACAGTAATAAATAAAGGAAGGGCAGATGAGGGATTGGTTGCTACTGTCGCTTTTTGTGCCTTGCGTTGAGACTTTTGTGCTTCTTCCCTTTCCAGATGTCCTGGTTTGGGTCCAAGCCGCCTCCCAGGGGCAGCATCCGGCCTTCCATTTCAAATCCAAGGACCCCCTGGTTATAAGAGGCCCCGAGGATGTGCTCCTGAACCTGCCTCAACCTGCTTCTATTTTGGTTTTCTACACACAAGGATGCTGCATCCACCGAGGTCTTAACTGCTTTCACCACAGTATTTTATATGAAAACGTTGGGAGGGGGGCATGTTTACAAAGAATGTCCCACCTTTGAGGATCACAGGAGTCCCACGGCTTTGTGGTGAGGGTCACGGTTAGATATGGGACACAACCTGCTGCATTGGTGTCATTCCCTGGAAACGGGAAGCGATGGCGATGTCCTCTCCTCTTGCCTGCTGGCAATTCCAACCTCTCTGGAAACAGGCGTCCTTGAACCTCCAGCTGGGAAAGCACAACTTTTTACAGAGCTGACCAGCTTTTATTTTTCTTACAGAAAAAAGCAATTTTAAATTGTCTTTATGACTCTTGCCTTTTAAAAGTAGTGTATTCGAGTAAGCGTTCAGGCTGGGAAGTGGGTGGCAGCTATAAAGCTAGGAGACAAGGACTCTTAAAGCACTTCTGTAACTGGATTTCCCCCAAAGGAATGAATGGGAGGGCTGCTGACCTGATTTTTGCAAACATATGCTCAAGTCAATTTCACTCAAGCAAGACTGCTCTTTTGTATTGCCACTCTTAATCCGACGGGCACGATTACATTAAATTTCGAACCAGAATTCGGACATAGACTCCCACAAATTTGCCAGTCGTAGACCAAGAGGTCACTTATTCTAACTCTGTTTTGAAAACAGTTTTGAGTACTAACTCTGAAGCTTAAATGGCTCATTTTCTAACTGAATAACCAAAACAACAACCACCTCTGCACCTACAAACTGCAGGGATTTAGCAATGCTTACATACTGTACAGAAAGCCGTGTAATATAGGAAACTGCATATTGCTAAGCAACAGTATTGAAACCTTGGGAAGCTTCCCAAGAGCAAGAATGAGGTGTGTATATTCATTCATCGCCGCAACTAATGCACTTTCTCTTCCTGTAAAAAAATCAAAACCCAAACCAACCACCTGTGGCGTTATGTATATAACTATATATATTCAAAGGCGGCCTTTGGGCACACTTGGCGAGCCAACTCCTTCAGTGTGCAAAGGGACTGTATTATGCAATGGCCCCTAGGAAGATAATTTGTGGTGCAATACGTTTTGGATTAAAGCTTGAGGCTGAGTTATTATACCTTCTTGCCTGTTGCCTACATTGCATACCATCTTGGGGACACGGCAATGCCCGGGTTATTTGAAAATGGCATTGTTTGTTGTGGGGTGTTAGGTCATGTCAGCTAAGTAATTTGTAGATCTATTTCCTGTTGGTTTTTTAAATGAATGCTCCCATTAGAGAATGCATAAGGATGGGGGTGAACTGCAATTCCCAAAATGGTGGGCCAGAGGAAAGGATGAAAGAGTGTAAGGGAAGGAGAGAAGGGAAGAAGAAAGAGGGAGGAAAGGAGGAAGGAAAGAAAGAAGGAAGGAAGGGAAGGATGGATGGAAGGAGAAAGTAAGGGGAAGAGAAGAAAGGTAGGAGGAAAGAGGGAAGGAAGGGAAGAAGAGGAAGAGTTCCCCATTGTGGTCCCTGTGAATTCGCACATATGGTATTTCCTGCACCTGCGCAGACAGTTCGGAATCTTCTAGAAAACTTATTAGACACTTTTAGGCAGTAGTCCCACCCACTCTCCCCTTGAGAGTATATATAGCCAGTGGGAGGGGCTACTGCCTCAGATCCTTTCATCCGCCGCCATTGCAGCAGCTAGAAATCTCTCATTTTTCTTCATCTTTGACTAGCGTTTAAATTGTATAGTCTCTTAAGGCTGTGAACCACTTTGGGTCTCACCGCATTGGAGTGACGCCCACGTTGACAGCCGACCTCTTACTCACGAGGAAAAAGAGAAGATGAAAGGGTGGAAGGAAATAGAGGGGAGGGAGGGAGGGAGGGAAGAAGAAAAGGAGGAAGGAAGGACGAAGGAGAGAAGGGAGGAAAGGAGGAAGGAAAGATGAAAGGGAGGAAGGGAAGGATGGAAGGAGAAAGTAAAAGAAAGAGAGGAAAGGAAGGAGGAAAGAGGGAAGGAAGGAAAGATGAAAGGAGGGAGGGAAGGATGGAGGAAGAAGAAGAGAGGGAAGGAAGTGAGGAAAGGAAGAATGAAGAAAGGGAGAGAGGGAGGAAAAAGGGAAAATGAAAGGGTAGAAAGGAATAGAGGGAAGGGGGGAAAGAAGGAAAAATGAAGGGAGGAAGGAGAAAGAGAAAGAGAGGGAAGGAAGGACGATAGGGTGGAAGGGAAGGAGGAAGGAAAGAGAAGGAACGATCGGTTGGTGAGAGACAGGAGGGCCTGAGAAAAGAGCCTAAAGAGCCGCATTTGACCCTCGGGCCTGGGTTTATTCCTACCTGATCTAGAGGTTCCTAGAAAACTGTTCTCCCTGGAAAAAAATAGCTTTTTAAAATTCATCTTTCCCACATTCACAGGGGGCCTTCAACCCTATCCAACATGGAGGGCTGACTCTAGTTTCAGCACATTTTAAATGTCAATCGCAACTGGTACTACTTGGGGCCTTCTCTGAGACATTTAGTTAGCCACGCTTGGATCCTGGACTAGTCTCTTATGAAAGGGACTTGGTAAACTAGAGCCAACTTAAGGATCAGTTGAGATGCGGGGAATCCAATGTCATATTTCTTCTTACTGTTTACTTACTATAATAGTTAAGGAGAAACTGGGCTCCGGGTTTCCTGGAAGGAATGCTTCTTGTGCCAAACTGCACCCCACTTTCTTCCCAATTTCCAACAAGGAAAACCCAAGGAAGCCAAAGCCCATGGCTGGTTTATTCTAACCATCCAAGAACTTTATTTTTGATAGAGCAGCAGGCACTTTACATGAAAACCAACTCCACACCGAGCCCAGCGATCCTGACCTATGTACAAAAAAGCCCTCTTGCATAAGAAAAGGCCTTCCGCCAAGCCCTCCAACCAACTTCCTGTTGCTTCTGAGCCCGCCACAGCTACCTCGCCCCCTCCCCGCCCCACAGACATGGGATAAATTTAAATTAGTCTCTCTCGCACTCGCACAAACACACGCACGCACACAGTGGGCTAAGGAGTAGCCGTCCCAGAGACTAGGCCGCCCACAGACACACGAAACCAGCCCCACTTCCCTTTGCAGCACAGGTTGCAAGGAGCCCCCTTCTCCCGGCTCTCGAATATCTTGATAGTCGGAAAACACAAATACATAAAACCTTCCCCCTCCCACCCTTCGTGGTTTAATAGGACCTTTTTTTGCTCCGAGACTCGGAAGCGTTTTCAGTAGATTGTGGTTCCTTCGAAGGATGGACAAAAAAAGTGTCGGAGTCGCCGGTTCTCTCCCGCCGGCTCCAAACAAGAGTTCTCGGGTGTCTCTCGACGACTCAAGTGAACGCGGGCTTGTTAAACAGTTTTTCGTGCGGTAAGAACTCTGACTATGGATCCTAGTCCACCTACGGCAAAGGCCTGGAAGGGGGGAAAGAAAGGAGACGGCAGTCAGCTTCCTCCCCAAATCAACTACATTTAGTACGTGAAATGTCTTGACAATAGCATTTGAACCTCAACTCTCCTCAACTTAGGCAAATTCTGGAGAAATTCCAGCATAAACAACTCAAAAAAAGAACAAAGGAGAATTATTAATATTTCTTCCCATCTTGCCTATGTTCCAAACCACCTAAAAGAAGAAAACCGAAGGAAGGCAGTGAGGCACAATGTTTTATTTTGAATAAAGCATGTTTGTGTGTCAAAGGGGAAAAAGTAGTCAGGACCAAACTCCACAAACCTACTATAACAAAACTACTTGAAACCGCCTTCAGCCAAATACATGTCAGAAATATTAAAAATTAACTAGGTATTATTAATTACAAAAATGTGAGTCAAGCACTGAAAGGGTTAAATGGATGCAATGACTCAGCAAAAGCTGCAGTTCAATATAAGCAGGTGTGCCTGTAGCTTAGTAGTCGTCAGTCTGAGGCAAACCTCAGTGGGAGAAAGGCCTCGGTCTGTGAGAGCAGGCTTCACAGTGTGAGGTAGGCCTTAGTCTGTGAGAGAAGCCTCTTTGGGGTAGGCCTCAGTCTGATGTAGGCCTTAGTCTATGAGAGAAGCCTCTGTGTGGGGTAGGCCTCATAGTCTGAGGTAGACCTTAGTCTGTGAGAGAAGCCTCTGTGTGGGGTAGGCCTCACAGTCTGAGGTAGGCAGTCTGTGAGAGAAGCCTCTGTGTGGGATAGGCCTCACAGTCTGAGGTAGGCCTTAGTCTGTGAGAAGGCCTGGTGTGTGAAGCTTCGGTGAAACAAGCTCCAAGGTTGAAGGCCTCGTGTGTAAAGCCTCATGTGTAAAGCTCCAGTACAAAGGCTGCTGTGTAAAATACTACTGTGTGAAGCTCCAGTATAAGTTCTTTGTGAGGCTCTGTGAGAGTGAAGCTGTTTATCTGTGAGGAAGAAGCCCAGCATGGAAGCAAAGAAGGAAGTATAAAGGACTTTATTTATGATGTGGAAATCTTGTTCTTGTACATAGTGCAACTATACTATTTTGCTACAAAGAAAATCCTCCTGAGGAAGAGATCACATTGCTCTGTGTGTTTTTGTTCTTTTTATCACTTTGGGCTACTAGTGCTGGGTCACACTGCTGCTAATAAGTTACTCTGCTGTACATTTACGAGGAAGATCTTCTGTTAATAAGCCCACTCGCCCAATAATACACTGGCTTCAAAACAGCACACCACAGCACAGGCCTTTCCTTCTGTACATCTATACTTCTAGAAAGGCCCAGCTTAAGACCTGTACCAAATTAAACCTGGAAATGCCTTGCTGGTGGGAGAATGAGCGGTGTCAACTCTTCCTCCTACGATGTGGGAAGCCAGGCGTCATCTTTTGCAGCCCACCCACCCCAACTACCACCCCCTACCAGCCACAAATTGCTGTTTCCATGGCAAACAAGAGAGCAAGCAAGAAAAAGAACCCTTTTATGTTGTCATGAGAACATGTCCTCACCAAGCCACCCACTGAAAGATACTTCGGCAAGGAAAACTGCATCTTTGAAAGTCCAGTAAGAGACCATTTCTGGACTGCTAAGGATGGGAAGGCCATTGACAGAAGGACAAGTAAACACCTTCTGTTGTGCTATTACTTAAGGGCTGACTTCAGTTGTATTAGTCGTATTTTCCACTCTTCACTTACAGAAAGGAAGGCAAGCGCAAAACTTGAACCCCTTTATCTCATGCACAACAGTGGGTTAAACCCCTGTGCCAGCAGGACTGAAGACCGACAGGTCGCAGGTTCGAATCCGGGGAGAGGCGGATGAACTCCCTCTATCAGCTCCAGCACCTCATACGGGGACATGAGAGAAGCCTCCCACAAGGATGATAAAAACATCAAATCATCTGGGCATCCCCTGGGCAACGTCCTTGCAGACGGCCAATTCTCTCACACCAGAAGCGACTTGCAGTTTCTCAAGTCGCTCCTGACATGACAAAAAAACCCCTCACACAATTCCTAACAGCCTACCAGGTTAAATAGATGCAATGACTCCACAAAAGCTGCAGTTCAATATAAGCAGGTGTGCCTGTAGCTTAATAGCCCTCAGTCTGTGCGAGATCTCTGTGGGAAAAGGACTTCAGTGGGAGAAAGGCCTCAGTCTGAGATAGCCTCAGTGGGAGAAAAACCTCAGTCTGAGAGAGCCATCAGTGGGAGAAAGGCCTCAGTGGGAGAAAGGCCTCAGTGTGAGATAGCCCTCAGTGTGAGAAGACCTCAGTGGGAGAAAAACCTCAGTCTGAGAGAGCCATCAGTGCGAGAAGGCCTCAGTGTGAGTGTTAGTAGGCCTCAGTATGAGTATGCGTGTGGTGAGATGCTTCGGTGAGAGAAGCCCCAGACTGAAGGCCATAACGTGTGAAGCTTCAGTGTGTAAACAGCTCCTATGTGAAGCTCCTGCTTAACTTTGATGTGAGGAGAGCCTCTGTGAGAGTGAAGCTGTTTATCTGCATGAAAAAAAAAGCCCAGCGTGGAAGTAAAGAAGGATGTGTGAAGAACTTTGTTTGTGTTATGGAAACCATTTTTGTAAATAGTGCAACTATATGATTTTTCTACAAAGAAAAGCCTCCTGTGGAAGAGATAACATTGGTCTGTGTGTGTAATAGTTAATCACTTTGTGCTACTAGTGCTGGGTCAGGCTGCTGCTAA